AGCAGGAATTCCTCATTAAGCTATTACATAAAATATTTTTAAAGCTGAACTCCAACCTGGTTATAGGCTTAGAGAACCTACTACAGCATAAGAAGTTAAATGAGAACTCAATTCAGCTTTCAGTGATCTTCAGCTCCTTAGGTCAGATGTCAGAGACAAGCAGCTTGGGAGACACTGTTTCTTCAATCTTTGGTTTTCATGAAATTTTAAATTGAGGAACAAAACCCCAAAACACAAAGAAATCTCCAAACTTACTGGTCTTTGTCCAGAACACAGAAAGAGTCCAAAAAGGGGAAGTTTGCAGCTATACTTTCAAAGTCTTCCTGAGAAATATAGCCATCGTGGTCATGGTCGTAGTTCCTAAAGACAGACTGGGGAAGAAGAAAAGAAACTACTGTCCTAATATCTAGCCTATCCTCAATCTATACCAGCATTTCAGTTGTATAATTACATGTAACTTAATGTTCGGCTTTACTATTCAGATGCTCTGCTGCCTTGTTTTATTCCTTTTATTCCTACCTGGTACTCAGTATGCCTGTTTATTGGGAAAAAAAGTGGGTAATTTTTAAAGAAAATTGACCTCAGTATTTATCTAGCTATGGCCCTCCACACCTCTTCAGACATAATCATGCTTGCTTTATTCTTCTTTATAAAAAATGTCACTGCTGCATATGACATAAACCTTTGCTTCATTAGGTATGCTTTTTAATCACAAAAAAATTAAAAAAACCAAACAACCAAACAGCAGCTTCCCTGTGAGCATTTCAGATGGTTCTGGCTTCACTTAATTAATTGGTCACCTCTGCTCTGCCACAGCAGTGTTTAATCTGATTTGTTTTCGAATACTTTTACGTTTAGATCAGGAACACTTTGTACCTAACGATCATTCCCTCCCATCAGCCCATCCCAGCTTAGCAATAAGTAAAATCAGACATGGTATCAAATGCAAAATCTTGCATATATTGATGGAAGCCCTCCTTAACTGCTAAGAAATTACTATATTGTCTTCCTGATTATGGAGATGTGCAAAGGGGCATTAAATCTGCATGTAAGGCTGATGGGGAAAACATGCAGCCCAAAGTCAACATGACATCTGAAAGACATATATTGAAGAACAAACTCTCTTGTTAGATTAAGGTTTGGTTGAGAAAGACAAGAGTTTAACATACGGAGACCTCTGAAAGGTGTTTGCATTGTTCTTATTTTAATGAGAATGTTATGAAGTCAATTTCTAAGCATCTACCAAATGATCTTTAACTGATGACTGGCAGACCTCAAGAATACATAATCAGCAAGGAACCAAAATGCAAACCCAAGCAGTACTCAAAACTTCTATTAATTAAAAAAACACCTTAAAGCACAACTCAAAACAGCTAGTATGTGACAAAGATCAGAAAAACTAAGACAGTTACACAGAGTGTTGTGAACTTCTTGGTAAGCTGTGTCCACAACAGCCCCAATTATATTTTAATCCTGTAAATCTCAAGATTGTATGTTCTGAAGCAGATTGAGATTGTGGAATGGGGGACTGTCTCTCCCCCACATCCAGAAGAAAACCCATAACCCTCCACATTCTAGATAGATTCAGGAGTTGCAACAGACATCATATTCACTACCAAAGAGAGTATTGGATCAGGAGTGATTTTTATCAACACATAGGGCACTGACAGAAGCAATACAGAACCAGCATGTGCAGTTCTGGTATCACCCATTTAGAGAAAAATGAATTTTTTTTTAAAAGATCATGCACGAGAGATACACCACAAGATTTATTTGAAGGCTGAACTATAGAACTGATGACTTTTATGGTATCTTAACAACACAACCCAGGTTAATTACCTGTAAAACAGACAAGGTCAGAATTTAGTATTTCTTCCCACTTAATTATTAATCTGTAAAAAGCAGAAGGAAGTCTTGCTTCATTACCTACAACACATTCCTGGTTCATCTGCATGCTGCTTATGTCACTAAAAGTCCCTTACACACCAACACAACAGGGCTCAGTCTCTTCAAAGAAGCCTGGTAGTGTTTGGTTTTGTTTGCATTACCTAACGTGTCACTTTCAAACTGAAGTTGGAAGATCCCAGCTGTAATTCTTCATTACTTCATTCCCATATTTTTAAAGCAATACCAAGGCAGTGCTTTCCTTACCATACGTAGTATACTCTGGACTGTCAAATGACAGCAAGTTCAAAACCAGAAATAGGGTTTCCAGAAACCTTATCTGGACCTATTAATGCAGGAGTCCTTGTTTCTGAATATTTTTGTTTCCAGCTGCTACCAGACATGAGCTGGGTGCCCAGAGCTGCAAAAACTCAGCTTTGCCCTCTGAATTCATATTTGCTAATCAAACCTATTGACCAGCAGCCAACTGCTGGATGCTCCTTAAAATTCGCTCCTGTGTATCCAGAAACCTGCTTACTAATCCCATCACTGTTTACAGGCATAAAAAAACCCCTATTTCTGAAAGTATCAGTAAAAGTTCAGATTTGTTATCAGATACCTGAAATTCACCCCAACCACAACAATCTATTGAAAAACTTGAAATTATCAATATCTATTATCAAAGCTATTGTTCTCTTTGAGCAGTATATTCCTGCAAATACTTACATCCACCAGCTTTCGTATGTGCTTGTTAATGATGGTAGGGTCAGGTTTTGGTACTACTCCAGAAGCCCACTCCAGTGGCACTACTGGCTTGTTAGGGGTCGTTGGGGAGGTAGGCTGCTGAGAGATGGATGAGAAGATGAAGATTTTAATATTGAATTACCAAGTTGAATTTCCTGCTAAAAGCAGCTCCATATGGCAGATCTACAACCACAAACAACTGGAGTCCCGGCGCTGTAAAAACGTGCTCAGCGCAACATCAGGCAAGAAGTTGCAATGAGACTCAGAGGAAGAGGGAAGGAAGGAGGGTCTCTGGACATGGTAGGCATCAGAAACAGGCAAACCCAACCCCCTGCTTTTCTCTTTCCTTATACAGTCCTTAAAGAACTCACCGCCAAAATGTTGCCTGGCCCCAGCTCCCTACCAGAGGGACAGTGCCCAGGAGCCATGAGAGGGACTCCAATGGCCTGAGTAAGCTAGCACCCCTGCTCTGTGGCAGCACCAAGCAGAGAGCATGATGCAGAAGCACTGGCAGAATTGTGCTCAGCAAACCCACACATTTCCAGCTGAGACATGCCAGGATGCACAGCTTAATTCATCTAGGCAGCCTGAGCAGAAGGGCTAACCTTTGACTTGCTCTGCAGATAACACCAGCCAGACTCTTTCATTCTGAAAACAGCTTGGTCCTGACAAAATGGTAGCTGACAACTCACTTGATGCACAGAGCAAGCAGCTCAACTCCTTTCACACCACTACAGGGGAAAACTCTGGCATGCAGGTCAGCTTGTTCAAGTAGAAAATACAGGAAAAATCTGAACACAGCTTCAGGTTAGGCTTTGAAAATCACCAGTTAGCACCAAAAATGCTGCATGGCATACTAGCCTCTCCTGCCCCTGCCACCATCCTGCATCTCCTGCCATCTAGCAGGAGAACCAGTGTCAAGCAGAAAAAATTCAGCATGTTTTCAATCAGAAAGAAGATGGCCCACAGCCTCCTATGGCCCCATATTAGCTGATGAGGAGGAAATCTGGGTCTCATCTGCCTCCCTTTAAATTGCTGTGAGGTGAGAGGGAGATAATTAAGCCACGTAAAAATGCTAGTTGTTATTGTGTAAAACAAAGCTATTGTAGAATTTGGTATTCAGATGAAAAATGATGACGAGATCACACTCTGCTGTCGTTGGTGAGGAAAAAAAAGAAGGAACTGTTAGTGGGTTGCTTTATTAATTTGGCTTCTCCTTATTTCTTTGTCAGAACAACTTTTGCCAGCTCCTCAATGGCTCTTGACTCATCACACAAACCTGCACAAGTAAGTTTGGGAAATTAAAATCCCTATATCCACAGAATTTAATGTGAACAAAAAAAAAAGAGTGAATTTGGAGATCCAGCTCCACCTAGCTCCACGTTTTAATCCTAGAATTAATGTCATCAAACATGCTGGCAAGAGTTTTTGCTCTAAAAATAGGCAGAAATGCAGCAGTCTGATAAAGATGACATGTTACATGGTATCATATAACATGCCAGAATTGTGATATTCCTACAGGTATGGTCAGAGAAAGAATTTGAAATGTGCCTTCTCTTAAAAAAACCCTAGACTAAAGGGTCTCAAAGCATCTGTATCAAAGTATCAGAGTGGTGCTAGACTACCAAATCCTCACAGGGAGCTTTTAATTCCTGCTTGTCCAACTGCACAATGACATGAAAGGGACTTAAGCCACTGGAGCATTCCTCTTTCTTCTGGGCTATTTCAATTGAAGCCTCATTAAATTTTTGAGTTTTTTTGACAAGCTGCAATGAAAACTTCATGTCAGTGCCCACTAGCCAAAGGAAAATGCTGGTTCCCCCTATTTCGTTCAGAGACTCATATGAACAACCACAATTTTATTTATGTATTTGAAATGCCTGCTAGGAGGAAATGTACTAAGCAGTGTCCAGAGACTAACTAGCTGAATTTATTGAATGCTCAGAAATACTGTATCTAGTCATACTGTTTGTGATTCAGTCTGGATCTCCTGTCTGCTTCATCAGCACATGGATTATGCTGTCACAGACTGAAAAAACATTTTCAGATGGAAGCAAACACCTGCATATATTTTGGCATTGAAATAAATTCTACTCAGAAGCAAAAAATCCATGTAAACATCTTCAATGGCATAGCTATGCCAGGCAGAGTTGTGTTCTAGCCAACTGCTGTACTAGTAAAAAAACCCCAATGAGCAGATAACTAATACACAGGGAAAAGCAGGACAGTGTGACAAACAGATGCTATACTACAACTGGCGGTTGGTTCTCAGTATTTTTTTAGGCTGCTACATTAACTAAAGATTCTCTTCCCAGTTTAGCAGAATGAAAGCCTTGCTAAGGTCCCCACTGAAAGCAGGCTCATGTGCTTGTGGGTCATCTCCACTTTTGCCTTGAAAAAGACTGCAGCAGCCTAAGGCACTTCCTCTGCCGTGCACCTGCCTGGGAGGGGTACCCATACAACAATAAATCAAGGAGCAGTTGGAATGATAAAACTACGCTGTCACGTTGCCTTTAACATTTTTTTCCACAAACAAAAGCTCTACGCATTCTTTCCCCTCTAAAATATCTTGTGTGCTTTGGCACTCCATCAAAGAGAAGTATGCTTCAAATAGTCCTGCTTCTGTCAATTCAGCTGCAGTTTCTGCCCATCAGGGTGCTGCAGCAGCTCAATGTCACTGGTTATTCATTGATCATCATGCAGAAGTCTCCTACAATTTCTGGGCACTGTTGAAGTTCACAACACTGTTTATATTGCTTTTGTAATTTCTAAAGCACAGGCTGGAGATCAAAGCAGCAATGTGATAGTTTTCTTCATTTACAGTAGTGGCCCATTTGCCCTTCCACAACTTAAATCTGTAACAGTTCAATTTTTGCTGGCAATAATGGAAGCACGAGGCAGCCAGAATGACTGTGATAAACTGGAACTGTTGTGGTCAAATCATATCCAATCAGGACTGGAGACTCAGTAATGAAATTCCAGGTGTTCAAATTGAGTCAGTGTTGACTATGGAAATATTCAATAACTTCCTTACTATTGCTCATCATCCCCCATAGAATGCATACATACATAGTCCTCAAACTGGTCTCCAAGACCAATAAACTATCTTAAAACCCAGAGAAGCCCTATACTTGGAAATGAAGGGGGATTTCTTCTTTAGTTACTTTTAAGAATACCCCAAATGCATAAAAAACTGTGCAACAAATCACCTCAGACCGCTGGACTCTCCTTTCACATGTTGCTAAGCATTTACAGCTGCCCCTAGCTTCTGCTGGTGTCAGACCTGAGATGGATCAGCCTGACAGCATCAGGTGCTCGATATGGTAAGAAAGAAGGATGTTAATGCACTGAGGAAATGCTGAGAGGCCAGAGGAGTCCTTAAACTTTGGCAACAGAAGAGATAGTAATACTTTAAATGAAAAGTCATCTATGAATTAGGAGATTTATCTGTACCCTCATACTTGCAAAGCATAATAAAAAAAAAAGCATCAATGCAGCATTATCTTTAGTTGCACATTAAAAAAAAAAAAAGAAAGAAAGAAAAAAAAAAAAGATTCTGAGGTGTTTAAATATGGCTTCAGAGCCCAAGATGCTGTCAGTGCTGCATAAGCAAACAGTTTATTAAATAGTAAGGCTCATGCTAAGCCTTACCTAAAACAAATCTTTGGACTCACTGTTGTTTTATATAACTGCACCAGCATCCAGAAAATGAAGTAATGGTCACACAATAAATAACTGATACAAACTTACAAAAGTTGTCTTCACATAAAGCTGACCTATATTTTCCAGGACTTTAAAAATAATTAATAACAAAGTCTGGCTTGTTTCACTATTTACTTCTCCCAGTATGCACTAGAACCTATAAATAGTGACTGTATCCAAGCATACACACTAAAAGGCTTTACATGAATATAAATGAGAAAACTCATTAACTGTCATTTAAAATTTTAATCAATTACATGCAGACAAAATAAGTGATATGTGAAAACGCAATAAAAGATGACATACAGATTTGGAGTTCCTTGGTTCCAGCACCAGTGAGAGCTTGTAGATATCATCCTCAGTGTGATAGAGGTCCAGGGACAGCTATGTGTAAGAAAGAGAGAAAATCAGTAATATTGTTTAGACTGGGTTTGGTTCACAGGCTTTTAATCAGAGATATGCCTCCCACTGAAGCTAAACAAGAAGTTGTGCTACTTGGAGCTCAGGATACATGTCAAAGCTGTTTGCAGCTGCTGGGAAAGCAGCTTTTCACAGCACTAAGGTAACCCACGCAGGTGAGCACACGTTGCTGTTCATGGCCTCACTGAGCCGAGCGAGCGCTGCTCTCGAGGGCCATCACAACCTCCATCCCAACATGTCATCTGAGAGGGGCTGTGTGCTCTTCTCCAAAGAGGCACTTCAGCACCAAAGAACCCAAGACCACTCTCACACAAAACACTCTCTTCCAGCAGTTCAATAGTCATGGCAGATCTCAGAGAAATAAACACATGAATATAAAAACTGGAGGAAAGAAGTTGTAAGGGAGAGAGGCTACAAGTACTTCCGATTGTGTTCTGTTTTAATTTTTAACCTGAAGAAAGGTCAGAGTACTGCAGCTTTTCTACAGAGATCAGCCCATGCAGCAAAAGCCTCTCTAGAAAGCCCTAGGCAGAAGGTGACCACTAACACAGGCCCAGGAGAGGCAAGCCATGTTTGGCACTGCTGTTGATGCAGCAGGTGCTCAATGAACAGCAATCCCAGCTAATTTAGCCCAGTTTGGCCTCTTCCCAATCCTCTCTCAGTGAGTAAGGCAAATTCCCTTTCAGTTTCTCTTTTAGATAAATGGAAGATTTTTATTCCATGTACTCGTTGTTTGCCCTGGAGGCTTTATTGAGAGAAAAGGAGGGACATAAATACAGTCAAAGTAAGACAAATGGTCTTGGGTTAGTGCAGGTCTGCAGTACATTTTCTCTTCTCTTGGGGTGATAAAGGAACAAAATAATCAACACTGTGGATAATGTTTTCCAATGAGAGCAAATGAACATTGCATGTTTCCTGTGATCATGTCCCCACATTAATTGGCTTTGGGAGCAATTGACATGATTTGAAGTTATCATCTACCTTTTCAAATCCCCAATTAAGCTAAGGTTGAGGTAAAATGATATTTCCCAGCAGGCAGAGAGAATTAGTACTGACTAAATAATGTTGTTTTTAGAGAACCTGAAGTGCCAAGTTAGTAACAAGCACCAGCAACTCTGTACTGGAGAACCACCTGTAGGAACCACTTCCTTGTAGGCAGAATTTTGTGCAATAAGTAAGACAGGACTCATGCCCTTTCCCAGGACAGGTGCACATCCCCGAGTGAATACATGGCTTTAGAGATGTCTGGATTTTTCATGATTTACTTTATCTAGCTGAAATACTACACTGATTTTTTGTGCATTGTGTCAGTTGTGGGCACCAGTGAAATCTGGAGCATCCTGCAGGTTTGTTCACCCAGCTGGCAAGCTGCTGTCACAGGGGAATGCAAGGACCTGTCCTAAAGACAAAGTAGATCCAGTAACTGCTTTAGCAAATATTGCTCATGCACTTAGTTATTCAATGACTGTATTCTTAGGCTTCTTGGTGGCATAAAAAACGCAGAACTCAGCAAATGATATTGATAGGTCAGGCTGGGACTTACAGCAGAATTGTTAGTTCAAAAGACTTTGCTGTTTTCCTAATAAAGAGCACAGTGTTCTCAGCAAGCCAGATGAGTGGGGTGTAGATTTGGGGATGGACATGCCTTAGTATTTACTGAGCAAGTTTGTATCTCCCCCTCCCTGAATTACCTGAGCTTCTCATAAGCTGCAGTTATAACTTCATTAGGCACAATGTGTAAACACACAGTGGACAAAATATTGTTTAGTACAGAATTTTCAAATGCTAGCAAAAAATTTTACAAGCACGATGGCTATACAGTTATATAAGCTTTCATTTTATATTTAGTTTACAGTTTTGCTTTGACAGATAAAGTATAATCAGAGTTTACCCAGGACAACGGTTACAGCTGGTAGCAGTTTCCATTCTGATTTGACTTCCATTGCTGTCCTGTTTTTCCAAGCAACTTAAGAGGGGAGTGAGGAGGATATAAGAGGGGTCAGAAAGGCACAGCTTATTTTTTTTTTGTAAGTGGAACTTCTTGAACACAAGTTAGGGAGGGTGACTTTCAATTTGATTGTTTGATATTTCTCGTTCCCTTCACTAGACTGTACAAATGACTGGGACTTTCCAGTCATTTGCATATAGTCTCAGAAAAAGATAAGATAAATAGCTCTTGCAACCTAAAAATAGTGGGGGGAAAATGGTGGCACCAAAAAGGTTCTAATACAGTTAGTATAAATACATTGTAGACTAGTTGAGAGACTGAGATCTTTCAATCCACAGAAAGTGATGAAACATTTACCCACAGGCTTTTATTCATGCTGTGAAATAAAAACAATGTGAAAATACTACACAGCAGGTAAGGAAATCCCTTAAGCATCCTTACCAAATGTTTTCTAATGATGAAGATGTCATTAGACCTATTAGTCCTCTCTAGTGCACTTCTAAGCTCATGTTCATGTCCTCTTCTACTACTTCTAAACTCTAGGTTTCAGATGCCAAGGACCAGTACAGAACTGGGTATTGAATCAGTGGAGATGGAGTGAATGTGACCAAGAAGGCAGAAAAGGAGGAAGAACCACACAGATTAAAAGAAAACGTTCACTAAAATGTGAGTCCATCTTCATGTAACATGCTTTGGCTGAGCAGTAGCTGAGTTATGGCACCTTTACTTCTCTTGCCTCAGACTCGCTTACACATACCTGACCAAGTGAGGACTCGCATCACTAAAGCTCCCCCTCAATTTTTGCTGTCTCCTATGCCAGTAAGCCTGGCAATCCTCATACTGCTCTCCATACAACAAACCTTTGCCTTATCTGTGGCATTTTAAATTACATGCAAAATATTGGCTTCTTTATTTCAGCTGCTGCTTCAAAGCTAAAATTTCGTGGGCTAGAGGCTGATTTTTTATGCTGACAAGAAGATACAAGAGTGGAAGCAGATTTCTAAGGTTGTGTGCAGATACCTAAATCAAGAGAGAGCCCTAACTTTCCAAAATCATCATTCAGCAGCTACCACTGAAACCACAGATTTAAGCTTTCCTGTTCCGCATTCACCCTTTAGGTGTACACACGAAATAGCATCTGGAAAATGCCCTTGAGACCCTTGACTAGGTGGCCTGTTGCCTCAGCTTTTAAGCCAAGCTCCCATTTCATGGCTCTTAAAACACTCTCCCCAGTTGTCACCATTTCCAAGCCACTTGAAAGGTATCAGCTCTCTTACAGCTGATGGGCCTCCACAACTGAGGAAAAGAAAGACCGGGGCAAATTCCCACATGCTCATGAAGTACCCTTTTTATCTTTTTGTGCAAGCTGTTTCACTAGCAAACCAGCACCCAGTGATTTACTTGTCAAGCAAGCACATGCCAGGCTGTTAGTCCTTGCTAAGTGTGGTATAAAAGGCAGAGCTGCAAGGGAGGGAGGCCAGGCAAGAGATTTACACGCTGCTTATCAGGACAAAACACCTACTAAAAGCCTGCCTGGATAGAAGCAGCTTAATGGGAAAAGAGCAGAACTGAACAAATAGTTGGGTCAGCTGTTTCACAACCCAATGAAAAGCACTCTACATGTTTATGCTCATTTACTAGTTTTGAAATGGTGTTTCTCTAAGTAAGTAAAAAGTGCGAAAAATGTTTACAGTTTACATTGGAGAGGGAAGACCTAGCAATAAATAGGAAAGTTATTTCTTCAGGCTCTGAAAACTGAGGGTGACTTTGGCAGAAAAGGAGGCTGAGACTGCTAAAAGACCATTTGTACATAGCAAGGTCATCTATTTTTAGTCAGTTCTTGTCAGCTTTGGGCCACAATTGTAGCCTTCTTCTCTTTCTCTGACCCCAGCCTATAAACTAAAACTTTCTTATTAACAAAGAGATTGACAAAAACATTTCACCTACTATGTCAGTTCATTACTACTGCTTAAGAGACAACTATATTAAAAAAGTATTGCAAGGTATTCATATGTACAAATGAGAGCAAAACCGACATACCGGAAAACAGTGAGAATACTCATAATGTTATGATGTACCAAAATTCTGGTCCAGCAACCTTTGGTAGAAGTTTGTTTTTATCCTTTCCAGGAGCTACTATCTTAAATAAAAATTTGCACACTATCAAACCTGCCTGACTCACAACTGCACTTGTAGTGACTTCTATGAAGACAAAATTACCCTTGAAAGGTTTTAGGAAACCTACAGCTGCCATCCTAGGATAGTTGTGGCTGTCTCCATCATTACTGAAATGTACCACCATGGAATTATGCTGACATTAAAAAAGCAGTAAAAAGCAGTACAAGTTAATTTTAACCCATGATCCAGTCTGAAATCAACATTGCAGCTTGCAGGTTCATTCCTTTACAATCAGATTGGCTCAACTGTAACCAAATCAACACAATTAATACATTATAGCACGGTAAGCAAAAAAGTACTTGTCATGTTCTCAGTTACTTGTCCTGGTAAATGAAATATACTGAATTAAAGATTATGTAGATATAAATAAAATAAGTTTTATTTTGCTAAAACCAAACAAAACAAGAAAAATATTTTTTAAAATAGAAAAACAGATCAAATACAGAAACTGAGGTTGATAAAAATGAAACTGCAAGGTCTCAGAAAAATCTGAAGCTTTCTGCTCCTTTTAGAAAGCAGGCTGTCACCCAAAAGAGAAGAACAGCTAATGAAAATGTCAGGAGTAGTTCAGCTTCCATTTCTCACTTCACATTGTCTGATTTCTGCCCTTGGGGCTCTGTTTCTTATTGCTGAGTTCTCTAAAACTTGAGGCTACACTTCCCTCTACTCACAGCCAAGCTGTAAGAAAGTATGAACTTTCAGAAACGAGCAGTAAGGAAAAGAATGGCACAAGATAAGAAAGTAACTCTCAATCTCTACTAAGAAAAAACAAGGTAATAAATACCTGCCTTTATAATCTAGTATTTTAATTAGGAGGGTGTTCCACTAATCATGATTAGGACTTGTTCCCAGATGCTCCATACAAAGTGTAGTAGTTGGAGATTTTCCTATCTTCCCCAGTCCTCACTACAATCAAGGCACAGGTATATCCAAACCATCTGGGCTGTCTCAAACTCAGGCTCTTATTTTTCAGCCTCTGTAGTGTAAACTCCTGTACCTGATCAATCCCAGCATAAATCCACAATCTCTGCTTAATTTCCAGATACACCCATTTTTGAGCATTTCAAGGTAAAGCATAAAAGGAAAATTTCCAAAGCTCCCACCCAACAGTCATCCAGTTAAGGCATTTCCCTAGAACAAGATAGGTAATGAGAATCACCTCAAGTCTGAGACCTGACTGAGGGAAAGCTGGAATTTGCTTCCCATCTCTCCAGGAAGTAAATTCTGAGGAGTTAATGCTATCCAACCAAATAAACACTGGAAAAAACAGGAAATCGGTCCTAGTTACACACAGACCTTGCTCACTTGTAAGCTTATTTTTAAAATAATTTGATTGATTTAAGGAGATCAAGGAGATTCTCTTTTAGTCCACATTAGAGATCTGAAAGAGACAAAGTTAAATAACAAAGAACAGAAAGAGCATAAAATTATTAGAATTGTTTTGGTTGGAAAAGACCTTTAAGATCATCAAGTCCAACACCATTAACTTAGCACTGCCAAGTCCACCACTAAACCATGTCCCAGAGCACCACATCTACAAGTCTTTTAAATACCTCCATGGTTGGTGACTTCATTATTTCCCTGGGCAGCCTCTTCCAGTGCCTGACAACCGCTTCAGTAAAGAAATTTTTCCTAATATCGAATCTAACCCTCCCATGGCACAACTTGAGGCCATTTCCTCTTGTTATATTGCTTGTTACCTGGGAGAAGAGACCAGCTCCCATCTCGCTCCAACCACCTTTCAGGTAGTTGAAGAGAGAGATAAGGTCTCCCCTCAGCTTTCTTTTCTCATAAGAATTGTTCTCCAGACTCTTCACATATTAAGAGATTCCTTTACCTAAAGAGATATATTTCAGACTACACTCGGATGAGCAGGAAGCTTTTATTTTTTTTTATAACAAACAACTGGTTTAAAATAAACAACATTCCTTTTTTTTTTTTTTTTTTTTTTAAGTTTAACAAGTTCTATCTTTAATACCCAGGCACAGTTTTTTGCCCATGTCCTGAACAAACTGTGGTGCTGGGCCAAACACTGCTGCAATTAAGACAATGTTAAAATGACTAAATGACAATAGAGTTTGGCCTGACGGTTCAGGCTCCACACTTCAGTATTTTAAAAAGCATAGTATTTACTAAAATAACAGTTATTGTCTACATATCAAAAAGGGGACTGAAAATTAATTCCTTTTAGCATTGTCAGTTGCAGCTTTTTTTTTTCTTTCTTCTTTTTTTTCTTTTTTAATATTTTATTCAGTCTTTTTGAAATCTTTCATTCCTATGGTTTGAAATGGGACATTTAAATTCTTACCTGCAATTTGTGTGTGCAAGTTTCAAACCTCCCTCAGTAGCCACTGCCAAGAGGGGAAGGGGAGGGGCAGAGGTTGCAGGGGCTCTTTAACACCATTCAAGATAATTTTTATTTACTGGACAGAAGAGTTCTGCATTGCACACAAAGCACAGGGGAGCAAGAACAGAGGGACAGCCAGGCCAGAATTTCACTTGTGTGTCCATGTCTACACATCAACCAATCTTTGTACAAGAGACATAAGCCTCAATTCTAAGCAGTCAGAACTTATTTTTTGATTCTCCTAACACAAATACAGCCCTCTTGTCATCCTTGAAATAATTAATTGATAATTATATTTTTTTTCTGCTTCCAACCATCACATACTACAGTAATGAAACTCTCTTGGGCTTTATTCATACCTCATGTGAACTTATTTCTGTTTTGTACTCTCTCCCTTTTGTTTTATGAAACTGGGATAACAATGTGCACTTTTCTCTGTAGATATTAGTACTGACATGCAATATCTGGATAACAGAAGTGAGCTGAAACTTGGTCAATACTTACAGTTAGCAGGTTAATTAAATCCATATTGGGCTCCAAATGATGAGAGGCAGTTTGGAGGGAAACCAGTTCACTCAAGGTGATGGAGAGCTGCTGCATTTTCACTATATTTACTTTGTTCTCATCTATCCAGTCAGGAAAAATGACATGGACAGCAATTAAGTCTTTCAAATGAACTCCTAAAATAGGAATTTTGAAGTCCACACAGTCAGCAAAAGCCTTGCGGTAGTTGCAGTAGTTTCCATTGGAAGAGACCAGCTCTGTCATTTCATTCCAGTCCTACAAATAGCCAGAGAAACAAGTCTCTGAGAAAGCATTCATAGCATTCTGCAGTCTGCTTTAAATGAGCACAACTCCTGTCAGGGTGTTGACAGTGTTAATTTCTTGTCTGGCACAGGCAATCAGGCAGAGGATCTCTGTTAGCTGATCCTTCTTCACCAAGAGGAAAGCAACCAAAGTGCTTTTTAGGATGCTCTGCCATGATCCAAGTGTTGTGCTGGTGAGACATCTGCACTGCAGAACCCATTAGAACTCAAAGGTGTGATGTTCTACTCACTATGTCTATATTCTGGAGTCTACCATACCTTTGTGACTTCTGAAGACAGATGTGAATGAGTTTCTTTCAAGCGAGAAATAGAACTGTGACTCAGACCTCCCACAACTGCCATGAGTGTATTGAAGTTCTGGAGGTGAAGGAGCTTCTGCAGGACAGATTGATCATGTATAGTTAAAAATCAGGGAAATACGTGTCAGCCGTCCAATGTCACACATGACAAGTGAAAGGAGACAAACCTACCATGGCCAAAGCAGAAATCAATAAACCAGGGGACATAACTGAATGGCTCAGCATATTGTTTTGGTTAGCTTAGCTCCACAAGAAGCACATATTAGTGACAGTTGCCAACCAAAACACAACAACAATTTTTTTTTTACTTATGTCTACTAGTTGAAAACTGCAGACATACCACACCTAAACAAAGAACCTGCAGTGATGTCAAATAGGGCATTCACTGAGGAAACAGCAGGAAGAACATCCAGTTCACTTGTTTACTGCAGTCTCTATTTGTATCACTGCTTTATAATGGAGGAAAAAGACTCATATGCAAAACTTACCTGTGCAACATTGATAAACTTCGTGATGACTTCTGCCCTTTGCTGGGGTGTTGGCTTGCTGAGAACCATGAGCTGGACCCATTTAGAGATACCATTAAATAAAGCAATAGATCTCTCCAAAGTAGGATTGTTATCCAAGCAGCCATGGATCACGTAGCTTTGGTAGTCTGTGAACTAACAGGAAAAAGGCATTTTCAGTAAAATGGTGGACAACTTAAGACACTAATTGAAGCTTTGATAATTTTTTCCTTTTAAATCTCCTCTTGTTTAGAAAGTGACCAGACTCAGGGTCAGGACACCCTGCTGCACATCAGTTCCTTCTTAAAATTTTGTTGCTTGGGTTGCTTTTTAAAATTACTTAAATGTCATCTAAAAACTTTTGTGTTTGTGTGTCAGAGTTCCAAGAATTAGATTCCTGTAACGGTTTGGAAAAGGTTTTTCAGCTGTCCTCTTAAGGCAGATTTTAAGAAGCTTATGACATAACTTTAACTTTTCCTGGGAGCTGATAGCATGCCAGTCAACATGGGTTTCTTGGTCCTGCCTGATCAAAAAACGTCTGCTAGAAGACTGACATTCTGAACAGTTTACAGCAAATCATTGACATCTCCAATGTCATTGTTTCTCTGTAGCAGTTCTCAATTACTCTTTAAATTAGGTTAGTGATACTGGGCTTGGTTTTCAACCTCCATGTTTTGAGCTGTGCCCTTCACTTTGTTTCCTGGAAATGTACCATTCTTACAACTTTTTTGGTTGCCAGTCTCATATGAACTAGCAACACAACTTTCAAACCTCTTCATTGCTTTACAGGATAGTATGACATTAATTAACTGATTGCAAAGAAACATATGAGATAGCAAATTTCAAGCTGAAGAATTAAAAGACATATTAGAAACAGCAAAGAAAAAAGAAAATTCCTGGCAGGTCCAAGTTTTATTTCTGAAGTTCTCTCAAGGGAATTTAAAGATATACTCAGTCTAATTAGAAATCCATCCTTTTTTTCTTGTCCCTCCCTCCTCCTTTGAGGCTAGTATTGCACAGATCATGGTGGGGTGTTTTCCCACAATTTGAAGTCTAGCCTAATAAACCTTTGAACATTATTCAATTCTGTCAAAAGCAATTCTATTGAGACTGGTCTCAGCTCTCATTTTTCCTTCCTCTCTTCTTTCTCTTTTTTCTCTTTTTCTCTTTTTTCCTTCCTCTCTGGACATGAACAACAACAAATGAATATGTTTTTCTTAGTTTTGGAATTTGACTTATTTCATGCTCCTAAACACTGTAAAAAAAGGATCCCATCTTTTGCTGTAGAGAACTAGTCATCTTCAGAATTCATTCTTCCATTTGCCAACAGATACAGGGGCATCACGTGACCTTTTCACATGGATATTTGCCAGCAGAAATCAGCATTTCTTTTGGCATTTGAGCTCAAGGAAGATCAGGGAAGTTCTGGTGCAACCATGGCTATATACACCATTTGAAGGATTGTAAAGATTTACTACACTGAAATGTCAAGGGGAAAAAATAATAAATAAAAAATGTTAAAACATGTGAACACTCGTTAAGGACAGGCTCCTAGTTGCAAGTGACAAAGTTGCAGGCTTCTTACAGAAATTCTCCTAAAAGATTTATGCTCCAAAAAAGTGAGATGTTCAGCTAGCTCAATGGGCTCCAGATGGTCAAAAAGAAGGCAGGCTTTTCCTTTCTTGGAAATCCTCTTCCTCTGTGTAACTCTTCTCATCCAGTCATAAGAAGGGCTGTAGCAGAAAAGAGGTACAATTCTCATTTCTGTTTGGGTACGTGTGAATTTGGCCCATAGTTGGCACACATAATATAAAATTACCAAGACACTGATAATTTTTCAGATCAGTTTTCTGATCTGTAACATCCAGTACATAACAAAATAAGAGTAAGACCCATTCAGGTGTATAACAGAAGAGTTTCAGAGGTGCTACTACAAGTGGTAAACAACAGCAAGTTTCTATCAGAAAAGGACAATGATACAGGAAACCATAACTGGGAATACAAGAACAGATCACATCTAATTCTAATACAGAATTAAAAAATATTTCAATAATATCAAGGATTATTTTTTTACTCTGCAAGACCATAGGTCCATGACATAATGGAACAGCAGAAACAGTCAATTAAACAGCTAACAAAACAGTAAGAAGTGGGTGGACATAAAGTCAAATAATTTGCTTGCAAGCAACAGAGCAATTCCTACCCAGACACAGTAAAAGCACCTCAGAAAGCAGAAAGAGGTTGCTAACAATACTTTAAAATTAAGATTTAAGAGACAATATTAATTTGATTTTACGGATACTGTTCTTGCAGGAAGTCTTTTTAAAAGAAAATCTACAATATCAGGTGAGATTCAAGAACTTGTCTGGTGACTTTTAGAAGGTAGTTTTCATTTCAACGTGTCAAGGAAATTGTACTGTAATCATCTCGATGCAATAAAAACTACAAATGTGAATGTGAAGTTAAATCATAGAAAAAAAGTACACAGAAAGCAATTAGAAAAAATTAACAGGTTACTGATGAGAGGACAAAAAAGCTCCCCTGAGAAAATGCAAGATTTACACAACATGCCCGTCACTGCATTGCTTGTCACTCTGTATGAAAAATTATAGGAAAAAAAAATCATATTAATCATTTAAGTGGCACTAGCTTTGTCATGAAAATTATTCCTTTCCCGTTTATATTAAAAACTTACATACAGAATACATACATGTATTCTCTTTACTGTGACACTACCACTAGAATTTCAATTTCTAGTGACTTCAAATTTAGAAGACAATTTAATCTTTTTGTAGCTGCATTTTTGCTCTCAAGAACAAGATGGCACTTAATACTTTCACATTTCACACAGAACTAGCATTCTGCTCTTAAAGAGACAAAGAGAAATATGTTGAAGCTCATAACATCCTTACATGCTGGAAATATCAATGAGAGGGATGTGCTCCTCATATCCGAGCTGGCTGGCTACTTCTTGAAACTCTTCAGTCAAACGAATCAGCCCAAGATCCAAGTTAAACTCCGCAGGAAATTCCAAAATCCAGTATCTGAAATCCACAAACAGCAGTTCAAAGATGCCCAAGGATTCAGGTGTAACATTTAGTGGTGGCATATACATTTTATTCAATGGGACTTACAAATATTTCAGACCCAACGGCTTTTGGGCAGAGAGGATGGACTACCTGAAGCTGTTGCTGCTGCAATTACCTGTGATACTGAAGTAGCAAAAGCCACTTTATTGCATAATTTCCTTTGCTTAACTCCCTGCAACACATCACAGCAGCATTCTACTGAAACGTGAAATTGAAGTGGTGCCTTGGGTGAGACACAGAAGAGGTACACACGTGTCCTGACTCATCCTGCCAGGACATGAAAATGATGCTTGTACTTATTCCTTGTCTAAGTGAGACACTTTATCTGCTCTGAAACGATTTTTCAATGAAATAGTGAATTTGAGTGGCATGATAACAATGTAAACAAGATGTATCCTCTGCTGTTTAAGGGGTTATGGAAAGGTTTTATCAGTCCTGCTTGCAATACCTGTCTCCCTTTCTTGACAGTGGTATATAACTTAGTTCAGAGGCAGAAAGAAAAGCACTTATTTGAGGGAAGCAGGTTATATAATGTTTGCTTAAAATCCATGCTTTCTCTTTTACAGAGAGATGTTCTTACAGAAGCACAGCCTAACACATGAAAATTTCGTATTTCCATGGTTAATTTTAATTTTTAAAAAAATAAATCACATGGACAGTATTCACGGAAGCATACAACCAAAATGCTGGAGAACCAGAAGCATGCTTACCTCATGAAATAGCAGATTTTTAATCTGAATTCATTGCAATTCTCTCCATTGGCATCTCTATATGTAGGCTAGTTAAAGAAAGCTTTGTAAGCCTTGATTCAGTAATGATCTTCTTATCCATATAAGACTCTGACACTAGATCAGCTGAGTAAAAATCAGCATTAAACTTTTCTTCTGGAGATAACTATAGTTATCTCTAGATAGCTCTGATATTTCATTCACTATCATACCATTTTAGGGGACACAGACCATTTCCTGGCTGCCACTTTGTTTTTCTTATCCCTAGCAAAAATGTTTCTATTATAATATTCTGAATATTCTACTGAATGGTTTCTTGCCAGCTCTGGATGGCAAAATACGATAATATTTCTGGTTAATGGAGTCTTTAAGAGGCATAAATGACATGTAAGTACTTAGCTACCACTGAAATTTCGTGCTAGTCCAAGATCAGTCAGCCATTACATGTTTGAAAAATTACCTTAGCAATATATTTCCACTTACCCGAAGTTTAATTAAAGTATCCTTCAGCAAACTTTTACATATGGAAAAAGTTCACAACCAATAGCAGAAAGAAGTGCCCAAGACTCCATCTTTTAGGCTGAAAAAAAAATCTTACCTCTAAACCTTGTTTGTCACGAAATAATTGACACATTTCTACATAAGATCACAGAAACAATCTGCTTTTGACATTATAACATCATTTTGCAAGTCTTCCTGAAAGGATATGTGGAGAGAAGCTTGCCAGCCAGCTCTGTGGAAGGCAGGTACCACCGGTGCATTAAAAGAAAAGTTCGTGGCAAATGGCTGGAGCACTGATTTCCTTTGTCATCTGCAAAAGAGAAACAAGTGAGCTAACCACATTAGTCACAAACAGAGAGGAGCTTATAATTCTTCAGATGGAGTCAGAGATAAAGGATCAAGAGTAGAAATGCTGGAAAAAAAGTGGAAATTCCTACCAAATAGGTAGGAAACAAAACCAAAGAACACAAAAGCTCCTTTAATGATAACTACTGCTATATTTAGTGACAGGTAAAAAAAATTACCAGTGTAGATAACAGGACACAGCTAGAAAAACAGGGTAAGGACTGCACTGTTCTCATCATTATCCAAAGAGACTGCCAGTAATCCAAAGAAAAAATCCAAAATTAGTCCATCCAGGCAAGGAGATTATTATTGACAATATTTATTTTGTTGCTGCTTTATAGCTTTATGCTAACAATCACAAGGAATTGTATTTCAAAGTGACACCTCACATCAGTACCCAGGGTCCCACTCCAGCTACTGTACAGATCCTTGTGACTTTGCAGCTTAGCCACTGTAGCTTCAGAAAGGGTTATTCCCCAGCATGCTGGCTGGCCATCAGTGTTCCTCAACATCTGCCATCTTAGATTATTTTCTGTCTGTCATGCTTTTAAAGGACAGTAGTTGATGCACATGTGTGAAATGGGAACTACACATGGACTACACTTGTCAAGAGAGTGTGTATACAAGGAAGAGAGGCAGGATTTCCAACAGACAATAAGTATGTGGGCTCTGCTACTTCTCATTAGGTATTTTGAACAACAGGTTTGATGGTGGTCTACAAACATGGATACATGGGGATGTACTATACTCAGTACCAAGAACTGCACCTCGATTATTTAATCTCTCTCACCTTAAGATACTTCTCTCCACAAGGAGAAAAAAAAAAATCAATACCTCATTGCAATCACAAGCTGTCCTGCATTTCAAGAGAATCTAAACATAGTTTTGTGAATTAAAGCCCCATTTCAAAGCACTTCAGCCCATCCATGAACTCATCTGACTGCAATGTAACATACGTAATGATGAATGGTGTTATGGATCAAAGTCTATTTCATCACTTCTTTCCCTCAAACCTGATATATCACATTTTAATAAGACAAAAAAAGATTACATGAACCTTAAGTTATATTCTTGCCAACTATTGCATGATGATTCAGAAAACCTTTCAAAAAAATGAGTGGTCAGAAATGCAGCTGTGTAACCACCCAAGAAAAAGACGAATGCCAGAAATAACTCCTTAAATAATTCAACTAAATGCTTTTCTTGCTGAAGGCCAGCATTTTAAAAACCCACTGTTGTGCATTATCTGTATTAAGAAAATTTAATACAGTATGCCTGCAATTAAAATTCAGGCCCATGTGATTCTGGGCCAAAATAAAATAAGGAAAATTTTACAGAACAGAAATGTTGTTTGCCAAGGGAAAGACTGGCTAAATCAAGGAACAGTAGGGGTTATATTATAAGATGAATTTCAAAACCAGCCAAGTAGAACATTGAAAAAGCTTACCAAACATTTCAATACAAGCGTTCAAAAGCTCATCTAATGTTGCAGCCTTTCCAAGTGTGTTTGACCCCATTGTCCTTTAATTGTTGTCAAAAAATAAGAGGCATTTTCACCAAGCAGAAGGATGCTTCTTCAATTGCACAGCTTTTTCACTTTATTGTTGGTTGCATTCTCAGTTGGGCTTCAAGGAATATCTAAAGAAAGTAAAAGAAACCATAATTATATGACCATCACGATGCAATGTTTACAATTCAACCCATCTTTTGTATAAACTGTTTTTTCCCCACATGATACAGAGCACGTGAAAGACTGCCATGAGCTCTCCCTGCATTCCAGCTTCTGTTTTTAAGTGTTGTCCAATTGTTTGTCCACTAGCACAGAATAAATCCATAGCAAGGGTCATAAAACAGAAACCAGATGGTGAATGAGAACATGCATGTACAGTGACGTACATTTTGTTCAGATCATTTTATTTACACTTGATAAGTCACTTTTTGTTAATGACTCTGCTTTTATGTTTTTAAGCATGACCATTTTTTTTCCCCTAAAGTTATCAGTTCTTGGTAATGCTAATGGTCTTAATTGGCACAGACCACATAAAATGTTTAATGAAGTTCACAGCAAACATTAAAATAGGAGGTGACTTTTCAAAGAACCTTAAGATCAGTCCCTACAGCTTTTTAAAATAAATCTTCCCACAGTAACTGAATGCTCACAAAAAGCTGAACATATACAGAAACTTCTAAATTGCATCACACCCCTATTATATATTTCATAATCAAATATCTATTTACCTAAAAGATACACAGAATACTCTGTTACAAGTTTTCAGAAATAATTTTACAGGTTATATTTAAAGAAGAGAAGAAATCAGTATTTTATTACTTATCTGCGACTAAGCCCCACTACTGCCTGACCATAACAAACAATAGTAAAGTATATCCAGTAACATTTTTAGACCAAAAAAAGTCAAGAGTAGCGCTACAACAGTCTTGAAGAGAAACAATAGAGGAATCTGGGAAATTTATTTTCAGAAGTCATTGCATGTAACATAACTTTTTGGTATTGTTCACACAAAGAACTGAGGAGATTTAGATTAGATATTAGGAGGAAATTATTTACTATGAGGGTGGTAAGGCACTGGAACAGGTTGCCCAGGGAGATCATGGAAGTCCCATCCCTGGCAGTATTCAAGGCCAGGTTGCATGGGGCTCTAAACAACCTAATCTACCGGTAGGTGTTCCTGCCCGCACAGGGGCATTGGATCTAGATGATCTTAAGGGTGCCTTCCAACCCTAACCTTGCTACATATGTGCTTTAATTCACCCACCATTTCCAAGTTTTTCAAACCTACTGTATCACAGACCTTGTACAGTAAATTCAGTCCCTGTAGGATGGGCATCCATCACCGTTTTTACTAACCTGCCCTGATACCCTCTCAAATGCCACTGCTGCAACAAGCGAGAGCGCTCTAACCTAAGTCCCTGTGAGCTTGCAGCCTTGCAGACATCACCGTGGTCCAGCCACCCCAGGGGCACCAGGCAGTGGCCCTGCTGGTCCTATTGGTGCCACCTCAGCCAGCCAGCTCATACCCACAGCATGGGCAGGTCAATACATTCTGACACAACTCCTGTTCACCACAAAGAGGAGCAAATACTGCCCATTCAGGTTAGGTCTGCACTGACAAGCTGATCATGCTCAGACCAGCTCCCAGTAGTGGCTGAGCAGTACGGTTGGTCCGTAGCTACGGCAGTGAAGTCTCCCAGTTTCCCAGAGCTGGCACGTGCAAACTGCCCAATGCTGGCCTATGCTAACTCCCACGTGCACCTGAGATCCACTTAGGAGACCACTAAAGTGGTCAAAGACCCTCTAGCAGCACAGCACAGCACATTGCATCCCAGCACCTGGAAAACTGTCCCACACTGAACAATTCTGTATAGGTCTAGCTTACCTGTAACCTACTGGCCAGGCCACATATGAGCCCCACTTGTTTATGTATTTGTGTATTTAAAGGGAAAAACAACAAAGGAGACTATTTGATTGGTTTACTTGCTTTGAGAGCTAGCCAGCAGTTGAATAGTGTTTTTTAAGATCACGACTTCGTACTGTGGCACCTAACTTTTGCTAGAATCCCACTCTGGGTATTTTTATCCTTTTGACAATTCCCAAAGCCTTCTCTATGTGCTTAAATTACTGGCTTGACTTTTTCCAGAACCAGGTATCTATCTCTTCAAGCTTTAGCTGACTTAGGTTTGGTTTTTTTCTTATAGGAGAAACATAAAATAAAATTTACATTTCCTATTTAAAATATTTTTAGTCAGCTCTTTGAAAACAGAACTGAGAAAAGCTATTGCATTTTCTGCCTGTCCCTTGAAAACTGCTGAACATGACATGTAGGAGAGGGAGAGAGTTGATTTGTCTTTTCAGTTTTGTATTAACATCCTCTGTAATATACAGCATAGGAGAGTATCACTCATATCTTCTATTGGCAAGAGTATTGAGGCAAACACATAGTAAACAACAAGTAATTAATACACCATTTAAAATAGTGAGGGTTTTTTAAATTACAGGAAAAATTCTTAACCAGCAGATACCTAGATCCTCATGTTGCAGTTCTGTGCCCACAAACAGCCTTCTGCCCACTAAATGTTTTATTCTCATAATGCTTCTAAAAGAATAAAACATTTTCACTGGAGGAATAACTGGCTGACTGGGACTAAGCCACATACCCACAGCTGTGCCAAAACCTGATATCACATCTCTTGACCGCAGACTCCAACAACCACAACCATTACATCATTATTGGTGTGATTAAGCACTGCTGTTCTACTAGAACAATAAAAGTCTTGTCTATATTATGCCACAATGGTATCCAATCACAACAAAACCTCTAGAGATGGATGAGTAAAACACAACAGTAAATTTAATCTACATAAATTATATAAATTATATTTTGATACTCAATGGCTCAACATATGAAAAGCATTAAAAAATAATGTGTAATAATACATAACACATGTATAACAATGTGTATGTACAAAAATTTATTATATATATATAATACATATACATAATACATGTAAATAATTAAAAATTTTGAAGTAAGTGGTTCCTATAAAAGAATTATTGCCAAAGGTGCAGATGAATTTCCAAATAAAGACAAAGTAGAGCATCTCTGCCCCCCCGGTGCTTCCTAACGTAACTCTGAGACATCTCATTGCCATCCAGCTATTTCAGGAAGATTCAGGAAACCTGGATAAGAAAACCAGAGCTCACTCAATGAGATCACATAAATAGCGAATGATTGCATACTACAATGAAAGTAAAAAAAAAGTAGCTTTTTTGTCTTATTGTGGAATTATAAATCCTGTTTGGTTTATTGTGTTTAACAGAGGCTACTGAGGATGGAGGAGATACACAGTCCTCCACACCTACCCATTTTCATTTCTTAATCAAGTTACTTGAAATTACAGACTTCACTACGAGTCTTGCTGGGAATCCACCACATGCTGGGAAGGGACTTCAGGGCAATAAATAGTGAGGAATGGGTGAAAGATCATAGGAAAATGATCAATACAAGCCTTAGTGTTCCCTCAACGCTTACAGTTTTGTCTAAAGGACAGGGTATCAAGCATGTCATGCTTTATGTCATGAAATACTGCCATGGCAGGATGTACACTTCCTACTCATGGTGAGAGCAGAAACATTTGCAGTGATGGGCCCAGAGGGCAGAAGTTTATGATGGACTGAACTGCAAGTCACAGAGTCCCTTCCAAGTCTTGCCATCATCCCAACTACTGTATGTACACAGGCAGGTACTTGGAGCAGATGGCTTTCCTCAGCATCTTGTCTTCAGCAGTTTGGAAGTCTTGAGGTGGCACTAGTGAGGACTGTCATGATAGAAGTATTCAAAACAAGCATGTAGACTGGGAGCTCTTGAGACAGATATGGTCAGGTGTAAGACATTCGTTTTTAAAAGAAACAGGATACCCTGCCAGTAAACTTGTGGTCTTATGCAAAAGCATCAAATGGTGTGAACAGAGTGGGCAGCATGCAGCCAGCCAAGTGTTAAATGTTGGGAACTGTCGTTAGTAAAATGAAAAGACAGCACTTTTACTGCTGGAGGCTACTAAGGGGAGGTCCACACCTACAAGTTACAGCAATTTAACTAATATTAAAATGTCAAGTCAGCACAAATCCCCAGGTGGGCACTTTCACATGGATTTCAAGCAAGTTATATTGATTACAGGTGCAAGCTAAACCAATAAGTTTGGTTTAAATAGGGTTAACTTTGACATAGAGAGTAATATTTGTTTAGCTATGAAATCTAATGAAATTTAAACACCTTTTTAGCCAAGCCAAAGTAAATGAACATGTAGCATTTTCCCCATTAATTAAAAGTGGGCTATTTTCCTTCTACTTAGGGACAATAAATAAAGCCACACACAAACAGTTCAACTTTGACACAGAGGCACCTCTACAGGTCTCAGCTTATCCATAAACTTGCCAGAGGCCTGCACACAGAAGATTCATATTCTTTAAGAGATGAGGACATTCTTGGGATTTAAGTAAGCCAGACCTCCTCTCATCTCCCCCTCCTCCAAGACTACACAACATATCACTGAATGCTTGCACTAAATGATTTCCACCCGGCTGCTGGAGAAAGAGTGCTAAGGGTGAGCAGCTGAACAGGGAAACTGAATCAGTAGCAGTATGCAGAAAAAAAAAAGCCAAGAAGAAATTGAGGTCCTGTGAGAAGGTTTAAAGGTTACTTCTCTTGTTACACCTTTTTCATTTATCCTTTCTTGCTCACACCCAGAGCAAGCTCTTCAGGACAGAGTTCATCTGCTACCCTGTGGATGTAGTGGAGGCTCTCACAATGAGGCAGTTTCTTGTGATTAGTCTCCACAGGTATTAGTGTAATTACCATAAGAAAAATCCCAGCTAGGCCACATAACAGTAGCACCTTTGCCTGTAGGTGAAATTGAGATGTCTGTTTGGGCTTCAGTCAACACAGGTTCTAGGTTGCCTAATGCATGGTTCCTGAAGACTTTCCCCTTCAAGCAGTTCAAT